AACTTCCTTAATACTACATAGATAGGAAAAATGTTAACGTTTATGCCACTATATTTAGTTTTGCAATATTCCAATTAGTTTTGCTACTAAAACAGTTTTACGCCATGTCGGAGGACTGTCCCGAGTTACCCCGCCCGTCCTGAGTAGCCCTGGTTGACGGTACTGCTGGTGGTGGTGAAAGAGACTTTCTTCAATTTGTTCCATGAGTGTAAATGTTATCATTGATTTAACAACACCATAAATTATGATGTATTAATTTGCTTTCCTCAAGTGGGTCTTGGCTATTCTAATTCAATGAAGACTTATCTTCATTGCACATCTTATCAAGTTAGCCTAATGCCACATCACAGTCTCTGTTTTGGCTGGCTTTATGTTTCTCCAGCCTTTGAACTCAATAGTGGGAGCATAAATTAGGTTTCTGTGCAGACCCGTTGGTTTACCATCATTGACCTTGTAAACATTGCCACAAAGTTTGGCCAAGTTTCATACTTTCAACTTCTGGCCTGGTTTATCCCTCTAGTCAATTTGCCACTTTAAAAATTACTTGCAGCCACCTTTGATTTACGGCATCTTGCAAGGCCTGAGGGAGCCCTTCTGGCTTCCTACTATGCAGCTGAACAATAAGACACCAAGTCACTAGCTCTCAATGATGCCATTACATGTACTGAACACTTATTGAAGGTGTAACTAAATTTTTAGTTTCTTATCAGCTGCATTTGAAGGCTTAAAAGCAACATTATTTGCTTGAAATGCAACCATGCATTTCCAAGTTGGCCTACCAATTTACCAAATTTGTTTATCAGCCAAATGTTATCAAATCTGCCTATAACTGGCAACTGCCATTACCAATCAAGAATTAATGCTGATAACGAGTCAAAATTCCAAACCTAGAACCTATACCATTGTCTTGTATTATATCTGTCTCATGTTGTTTCATAATTGGATGTTATTAGGATATTGTTGTTGTTAATGGATGGTGTCTTTCAGGGCTTCTAATTGGGATGGAATTTGGGAGTGCTGTAGTGGTATACATGCTTTGCCATTATTGCAGAATTTGTGATTCTAAGGAATTGGCAGCCAGTTTGCCAAATCTGTAGAATCTGCATTTCATTGCTGATTCAGAAAATCAGATGTTAAGTTGAAGTTAGAACATAAATTGACAGAGTTAGAAAGGGTGAGATCAAGTTTGGTCAAGTTCCTTAATATTTGAATATAAAAACAACTTAACTGACTGACCTAACCCCAGATTCATATAGTACAGTATGCTGATTCATATAGTATAGTACAGAAATGCTGATTCTACGGATTTTGCAAACTGGCTACCACATAAAAGTTGCACACAGGTGTTGGTTTAAAAAGGTGATTGACAGAATTTGTACATCTCAATCCATGAAAAAATGGTGGCCATTTCTGCAGGATGGGGTAATAAAGGACACCCCCCCCTCCCAGGGTAATAAGGGACACCTCTTAAAACACATTTACAGTGCAACCGCATTTAGCAAAGGATCCCATTAATGAAGAAATCAATTAACAACAAAAAATTTTGATTCTCCCTCAGCAAAATAATTTCACATAACAAAAAATTAATGCATCATCAGTCATCACAAAATTGTGCATAGAATATCATTGATATAATTGTACACTGGGCAACATAAAATGAAAATTAATTAACCTAAACTTTGATTTATTCCTCCAAAAAATATGATGGTTGTCGCTAGAATATTCCTTTCTGTTTTAGATATGTTTTACAATCTTTTTTTTTTGTTATAGTGTACCTATTCACTTGACCCAATTAAAGTGGTGTGAAATTACAAGGCACCCTGTAAGCTTACAGATACAGAAAAGTGCTATATGGCTGCTGATATGAAGCTTGCAATCAATAAGGTTGATGTAAATGCACAGTGGCATGTTTATGGATATGGTAATATCACCTCAATAATATGGCAATGTATGGATATGGTAACATCATATCAATAAAAGAAAAGCAAGGAAAAATCACAGAAAATGTCATTCATTCTACATCATCTATGAAGGAAAAGGAGGACTTCAGATCACTGTTAGTGATAGATGAGTACACTTTGCATGCTTCTAACATTTTAAAATTAAGTTTTATTTCAAGTTTTCCGGATTTCCCCGTTCCCAAGAATTCAGGCAATTCTTTGTGTCTGGCACCTTACAAATAGCATATGGAATTTTTTGAAGATGCCTTACAATAGCCCTCACAAAGAGCTATAAAATGAGTGCAAACTTATTTAGGAAATGTTTCATGGTAAGAAGTTATTAACAAAAACGCTCAAAACCGTCCCTTACTACACTGTTTGATGGTACTTTAGTTAGTGCTTACAATGTATACCTGGTCAAGGGGTGGAGCTGTTGAAGTAGATATCAGTGTGATGAGTCTTGCTACCACCAACAAAAGACCCCAAATGAAAGCATGAGGATGAATTGAGGTTTTATTAGCAATACCGTAGTGTTAATACTCACCAGTTGATTTTAGTTCTCTGCAATGCCCTCAGACTTTGCTGAATTATATGGCAGAATTGTTTCTTTAGTTGGCAAGAAAAATATTATAATGGAAGAAGCCACTCAAATTCAAGAAAATTAAGCCAAGCAGCTAATGTGTGGCTCCCCATCATCAGGGTACACAATTACATTATAATCAATGGGGGATGTGTTCTCTATTGCAATGATTAGATTCCTTGTTATATTGCCAGCTTTGAATGATTTATCACTGTTGTAAAATAATTTTGGATCATAAAAAGATAGCATACTTGAGTTAAAATGTTGTGTGTTTTCAGATAGTGCCTGGTGTTGAAGTGTTGAGTCTGCTATGCTGTGAGGGATGCTAGTGCAGGCAACTGGTTCCTCTGTTGCTGGGATATCAACCATCACAACTTCACCCCTACTTGCCCCGTCTAGCAAGGCAGTAGGGGTTCTTAACATCACTCAGAATTATGACTGTGGCCATGGTATCCAACAACTCAGCAGATGGGCGGTCTCCACAACAGCCCAACTCTGGGAGTGGCCTGGCAGTAACACCACAGTCAACAGCTGCAGGGTCAGGCCAGCAGTCACAGGTATTTACCACTACCTTCTCTTCTTGTTTTAGATTTGAATTTTTGATAATTTTCTTTAGCTCAAATAATATTAAGGAATAGATGTACTTTTTGTGTTTTAGTAATGATCTGGTGTCTCTAATTCTTCTTGTGGCAAATTTTGTGAGTTTCAAGAATTCAGTAACTATTTACCACTTTCAAGTTGGTCAACTCTGATCGTTTTGGTGAACTTGTGTAGAACTAAAACTTGTGTAGCTGGCCAGTTTGTCTAGCTGCACTTTATTCCAAGAATTTGATTTTTTTTTGTTTCTCATACCCAATAGCACCATTAAAGTAATTGCATATTGGACACAGTAGTTAGTAAGAATATCATATCATAATAGTCTATAATCTTTACAGCCATTTGTGCAGGAGTGTTCTGATTTGCCATTATTTTTTATTTAATAGTATCTATCCCTAGTTAAAACTTTGAAAGCTAATTGCATACTTATTTCTGAAGTATTAGAAAAATTTCCATCTCTCTGAACATTAGTTGTCAGTTCTCACCTGTTTAAATTAGTTTAATCTTGTAAAAAATCTGAAAATTTCTTCAATTCAAAATGGATGAATTAAGAGACAACAAAGATTTTACATTATAAATTTGCACTGCAGAGCTCCCAAGTATGTGGTGGGAGCGACAAAGAAGGCTCCTCTTCAGCTGATGTCTCCTCAGAAGGCACTAACAGCCACGGTGGGATGAACAACACGTCAAGTGTCAGCACTGCACCGAGCGCTACGACCACCACCACCACCACCACCACGTCACCCATCCCAAGCTCAGGCAACCACAGCAGCACCAGCAGCAGTGCCTTCCCTCCCGACAGCAGTTGTGCCGAGGATGTTCCCGAACCTGACTTTCCCATTGCAGCTCTCTCAAGGCTTGACGAGATGATTCACAGACAGCGATGGGTAGTGCCTGTGTTACCAGAGTCTGAGCTGGAGGTGCTGCTGGAAGCCTCTATTGATCTTGCTAAGAAAGGCATTGACACGCGCAGTGAGGCGTGCCAAAGATTCTTCAGGGAGGGGCTTACTCTATCATTCACCAAAATTTTAACTGATGAAGCAGTAAATAGTTGGAAGTATGAAATTCAAGTGAGTTTTACCTGCATGCGTGTAAGATACTTTATGCTAGAATGTCATGGTTTCTTGTATGATTATGCATACATTGATGAACCATTGAGTGTTGCAATATAAACCATGCTATAATATAAAGACTGTCTATCATAGGTTATTTTGGTCCCAAGGCTGCAGCCTTTAGAACGCGATCCAGTAGGGTGAATGCTGCATCCAGGTACTATGTTGCGATGAAAACTTAGTGGTGATATGAATGCTGCATCCAGGTACTATGTTGCGATGAAAACTAGTGGTGATATTGTGACGATTTTTTTTGTCTGATTGAGAGAAATGGTATTATAAAAAATGTTCCCTTGTGTTAATAGACGATTAAGCAATCGTGTATAACTGATGTACATTTCTAGAGAGTAACCTGTGTTTATTTAACAGAAATGCGTTCTAAGTAACTGTGAGAAGTTGGTTGAACTCATTGTTCTGAAGCTGCCACACGACTGGTTCCCATTGCTGGACCTCTTGGCAACCCTTTGCAACCCAATATGCAAGTGCGTCATCACAGTTTGAACAGTGTTAGGCTTTCGCTATTCTCTGATATCATGAACGGATGAAAATAAATGTACCATGCTTTTTTTTCATTCAACATCTTGATTATTCTCATGGATAAATGAATTTTTGTGAACATTTTTTCTTAATTTTGTGAATAGCCTCTTGAGAAATACGAAATTTCCTGGAAAAGAAAGACATTGTTAACGATCTACTCTGCTTCTTGCAGGTTCCACACATTTAACAGCAATAGGAACCCAGAATCGATTCCTGCAAACCAGAAGCTGTCCCCAGCGCACCAAGCATCAGTGCAGTCACAAGAGCCTGATGGCGGTGATAATACCTTCCCTACTGATGGCATTTTTGCCCCACAGCCGAGCACTTCAGAGGACAAGGACCAGGGATTATCTGATCTGATATGCCCTTCTACTTCTGGACCGTCGCCTGAGAGTTCAGGAGCAGCAACAACTTCCTCCTCCTCAATAGCCTCGCCTATAGAAGCGGCCACCGCGTCATCTCTTCTGAGCGTTCCTGTCCACAAACGCATTTATGCAAAGCCTCATGATTATAGGCATCCCAGAGGATGGCTGGTTGATCTTATCAATTATTTCGGAAAACTTGGAGGATTTGACAAGCTCCTGGAGCGCTTTCAGTGTGGCCGCAACTTGTCCGTGCCTGTGATGTGTTCATTGCTGCGACCCTTTGGCCAATGTTATGAATTTCTTACCGTCAGCACAATAGAAACCTTCTTCATGCCCATCATTGTGAGATATAAATATTCTTAGTTTTTAAAACGTTTATTGTTTTGATCAAAGACTGCTTGTAAATATAGGTAGTTCTCAGGTTCTTGAATCACGCCAGAAAACTAACGTTGTTACCGATATTGTCAACATTGGAAAATCGCTGCAGCTTAGTCTATTCATGTCTCATTAAATGCAAAATAAGTAACCACATTTCTAAGATCAAGATTTGAACTAATTTCGTTGGAAATTTCGGTTTTAAAAAATTTATGTCCATTGCCAAATATTGGCTATGGACTAATCTTGTGATGTCGCAAGCTAGCGTTTGTCTGTCCATTAATCCTTATCTTATTTTCATCAGGATTTGGTGCTGGGCTTTTTAGAGAATCTGACCGACGAGGAGCTCAAGAAAGAAGCCAAGATTGAGGCAAAGAACGACGCCCTTAGCACCATCATCAAGTCTGTTCAGATGCTCGCCTCGCGCGTCCCAACCAGACAAGAGACTGCTAAAACATTAGAAATGTTTCGCCTTAAGATGATACTCAGGTAAACGCGCGAGTTGTCTAGGATATTTTTATTACAACACTTCTCTTAAACTTCACTTCTTGTTTGTTTGTCTGTCTGTCTGCTACAAATCTTATAATCGATATTTAACACACTTCTACCTGTCCAATCGATCTGAAATTTGGCACATTTGCGTTAAGTTGGAGACAATGCATGAATCAATCGACAGAATCCGACAGAATAAATAATTTTATCAATAATTTTTTTTCATTATTAAAAAAAATAAAAAAAAATCATTTCGTCTGCTACAAATCTTATAATCCATATATAACACAATTTGACCGGTCCAATTGATCTGAAATTTTGCACAATTGCATAAAGTCATAGACAATGCATGAATCAATTGACAGAATAAATAACTTTGAAAATTTTCAGTATTTTGATATCTTGAAAAATTGTTGAAAAATTTTTGAAAAATAGTTTTTTTCAATATTTTAAAATAAAATTAGAAATTCATGGTACATGTGTAACATCCAAGACACTGGATTGTTCAGAAGTGTTGTCTTTAAAAATTAATTTTTAAACACATATTATTCAGACTATCCTTAGTTAAAAAAATGGTGCGAGTTGTCTAGGAAATGTCAATAATTTTTTAATCTCACGATACGAACGTACAAATCTCACTTATTTGTGAAATTGATCATTATGATGAATGCTAATATGACTGTGTAATTTACTGTAATCACAATTACTGTAACATGACTTGTATAAATACTTATTATCGTTTTCCATGGCCGTGTGAAATTAGAAAGCAATGATTTTTTTTGCTTATTATGATGTCAACAAATTACCTGTGTTTTTTTGCACTTGAAATAACCATGTGATTCTTTGTTGCAGGTTACTCCAGATATCCTCTTTCAACGGTAAGATGAACGCTTTAAATGAAGTCAACAAAGTAATAAGCAACGTTAATTACCCGAGCCTGCGCCATCCTACCTTACCGACGACGGTGGCCCAGCACGAGGATGAGGACTGGCTCACTGCACCCAGATTCGCTGCACGTGATCTGCTTCTAAGCATAAACTTGCTTTCAAAATTATGTGTCGGCCATATTGTCTCTAATAGGCGACACACTTTCATATTTACAGCACGAGCAGAGAGTGGACGTAAGACTGATATATATATGCCCATCTGCCGTTGTAAACTGGTCAAGATGACTCACAAAAAGTGCATTGCTATTTCGACAATGCGGCCTTCATTTCTCTCAGTGCCGGATTTCTGTTGATCTATTCTGGATGTAAATTAGAGATTTTTCTGGTATCTCGTCTCTTACGAAGAGTATTTTTTAACATACTTTTAACTCGTGTTGTAGGGTTCAATGAGTTCAGTGACTACAAAATCATCCTAGATGTAAACAAGTATGACATACGAATCGAATGTACCGTATCAAATCTAACTCTTGGTAATTTCTAATCAGTTTTTTAAATTCATCTCTCGTTGAAAATGGTTGCAATGATTTGTCTATATTTTTATTACGTTTTTTGGTGGCCATCTGCTTTGTCCTCCTGATACCTTCATTAATATAATTTTGTAGTGCAGATTATACTTCTCTTAGATTTTTCCTCTGATCTATTAAGGTGTTTACTTGAAAGTACCTATTGACGAAATGAAGCGTCAATTGGAAGTAGTGAATTATGAAGTATTGACAAGGGTGAATCTGGGAACGACCGTGAAAGTCATTTTTCCATCACTGTTGACATAGGATGCTAACTCGGGAAATTCGATGTTTTTAACAGGAGTGGATTAAGGAGAACAGAGTCCTGCAAATAGTTCTCCGTGACTCCCTCCACCAGCCGCAGTATGTGGAAAAACTGGAGAAAATTATTCGTTTCATTATAAAAGAAAAGGTGAGAGTTAGTCTAAATATTGAGGAATTGTTTTCTCTATTTTTATTGTTAACCTTTTGTGGGTTATTTGGTCGTCGCGGGTCGCGCGTCATTTAACTCTTTTCTCCCTGTCCTTCCCTGAGTTACTTTCGGCCAAAAATTGTTAAGTGTAAAGTGCTCGAAGAAAAGGAATTTAATGTTATTTTCATAGAAAATGCAATATTAGTACTGTACATTCGATATCATACCCCCACGTTGATTGCAAAATTCAGAAATTCGAACTTTTTAAGCTATTACAAGGAATTGCGGGCAATTTAAAAGGTATTTAGTCCTAAGAGTTTTTCAAAATGTTACTTATTCAATATGCACAAATTTCATTGTAAATAGCTATTGTAGAATTTTTCTACTACCATCATTAAGCTCAAATAATCTTGCATCTAAATATAAACCGGCAAATTTATGAACTATCTAAATTAAATATGATTCTATGTAAAACCTTTCCTTTGAACACTCAAGGTTTGAATTCTTGAGCACGCTGGGGGTGATGCATTGTATGGGGTTGCTATGTGCAGCGTATCGGTGACTGGCAAAGGCATGATAATTTAGCCTCAGACACAAATTAAAGGAGTGTGAGTTCCTTTTGAAAGATTTATGTACTTATGATATCTTGAATGCTGAAAGGATAATGACGTTTATGGCCTCGGCGCCCGTATATATACAGTCTACAACTTACATTCCAAATATGCTGGTGTCAATTCTGTGCACTCTGACGATAAATTTTCCATTTCAGCCGCAGAGTTTATTGTGTAACTCGTCCACTTAGTTTACTTACAGCTCACCCCGGCAGCTTACGACAGGCTTGTCAATTTTGATACCCATATATGCGAATTGCATTCATTGAATCTATTAGTCTGTTCTAATTCTGAACGTCATTTATGTACAGGCGTTGAGTTTAGACGACCTAGATGATATATGGCTGGCACAGCACGGCAAACACGAGGCTATAGTTAAGAACGTTCACGACTTGCTGGCTAAATTGGCTTGGGACTTCAGTCCTGAGCAGCTCGACCATCTCTTCGAGAGGTTCCAGGTGAGCCCATAATAGCCAGTTCATCAGTAAACAATACAGTTCAACATTTGTAAGCTTATAATTTCTAAATATATGAAGTTTACGTGGCGTGCTTATGATAGTAATATCGATAGTGTTATACATGAAAGTAAATATGATATAAATGATGTAGTAAATGATAGTAATATAGCATTTTGTTTTCTCTTAATTTTACTGTTCGATTCTTGCTTCTTGGTTATAGCAGCAACCATCCCATTTCTACCCATATTGGCCTTTTAATTTTGAACTACACGAGGTTGGCCATGTCAACGTAAGAATCGAATATTCATTTTGCCTTCCTCTACGTTACGCTGTTCGACGTTTTCACATACGCTGTTCGACGTCAGCATAGTAAAGTGAATATTACAAGCTTTAATCCACCCTTCGAGAATATTATCAGTTTGTATCGAGACAGTTTGGGCGTTCACTTCAATCTATAATTCTCTAAGCCAGAAAATTGATGTAATGGGTGAGTGTCTGGTTTGGAATTGTATCAGTGATACACCGACACTGATTCCTGGCCTCGCTGTTATTGGTCCAAGGTTACAGCATTCCAGAGCACGTCTCCAATCTTCTAGGTAGTTTTTATGAAGAAGTTCACTAAACATACATTTTTAGCTGAGGTAAAAAGAATATTTGAAACTAGTTTTTAGATTAAATTCTAATGAGATGTTAGCAGAGGTTGTGATTGATGTTACAGTCGAGCTGGCGAGACGCGAGCAAGAAGCAGCGGGAGAAGCTGCTGGAGCTCATCAGGAGACTTGCGGAGGACGACAAGGACGGCGACATGGCACACAAGGTGGGACTTGTCCATATTTTGTTGAGTGCTGGTCGTGCTACGTGAACGTTGTTATTCTGAGCTCATTTACCGCATTGTGGTTCTAAAGGAGAGCAATTTTTGAAAGGGAGAACTTTAAGTGTAAATTCATGCCCATACTGATTTTTTTGTGATTCGTTGGATGCTGTGATGTGCTTTTGGCTTTGGGCTGTGAATTTGTTACTTAATGAGAAAGGTTGTTAAGAATCGCAGTGTTCAAAGAGAAATAATGTAAATTAATGATAGGTGAGATAGATTTACAAATTCACAATGGAAATGTGCACGCGCGAAAGCTTACAAACGATTGACTTTTGCAATTGCTTAATTAAGATAGGCGATTGGTTGGTGGCAACTTTAGTTCGTATTTTTCAATATGGATGTTTTTTTTTTCCATTTGCTGCTTAGATAAATATTTGACGATTTTGCTGATGATTAGATATTTTGAATTATTTCATGCTTAGTTTCAAGCACTGAATTCTATTTATTTTCAGTTGTTTTTGTGATTACTTTTTAACATTTTTTGTAACATTTTACATTCGAGTTATTTGATGCTTGCTTTTGAAGCCAGATGAGGTTAAGTTTTGTGTGGGCATGGCAGGTGCTGACTTTGCTGTGGTCGCTGGCGCGATCTGCCGACGTTCCTACGGAGATTCTGGACCAAGCTTTGAGCGCCCATGTCAAGATCCTCGACTACTCTTGTTCTCAGGTGGGGAAAAAATTGTAAATGTGAGGTTATTTCTTGTAACTTAATCAATTGTGCCTAAGCAAGCAATACCACCATCCCTCCATCAAACTGAAAGAAACAGAGGCTTATATATAAATTAATATTCTGCGCACAATGACACTACCATTTCGCTGAATTCCAAATTTTGAGTAATCATTCTACAAAACTTTCATCAAATGAAGCGGTTTTCTTCCTAAGGTCTCTTTGTATTGTTTCATAGACCAACACGCCTTATTTAGTTCATGGGATTTTAATGTACGAAACGATGACGTCTTGGGAGATTCATGTAGATCTTTAAATCCATGATTCGTCAATATGATTCAACTGTTTATGCCAGGAGATGAGTTTTTCTCTGGGCAGTTGATTATCATCAGTGTGAGAGTGATTTTAAATCTTTGTCCACAGGATCGCGACAATCAGAAGCGCATGTGGCTGGACCAGTGCGTGCAGGAGCTCAAAAATGACAAGTGGGTGCTGCCTGCACTCAAGCAAATCAGGGAGATTTGTTGCTCGTACAACGAAGCTCCTGCCAACTACTCCCAGCACCGGCCAGTTACTCACGTCTCGTACAGGTATGTCTTACCTGGCCGAGTTATACATCAGTATAGTTTCTCTTGGTTGGACAAAGATTCAGCATTTTTTTCTCGATACAGAAGTCTACTTCATTGTCGTTGTGCAAGGAAAAACGATATAAGTTGATTGGAAATATTATAATGTGTTGAAATTGCCTGTAAATATTTTAAGTCATCAATTGAGTTTTCAGAATCAATAAAGATTGTCCGCCTGACATTGTATTGAAGCAAGTTCCCAGTTGTTAAACATAGCGGTAGTAGAAACAGCATAGCATAAACTTTTGATCCCTAATAAATGACGGGCTTGTTCGACAAAAATATCTAATTTTCAGTTATTTACCTACGTCATGTACGATGCTACTTATCGCTGATCTTTTTTTTCACTGCAGACACGATGTAATCTCCAAGCTACAGAACCAACACTCTCTGGTGGTGCTTGTCACTGAGAATCTCACGGCCTACATGAAACAGATCAGGACTATTGCTCAGGGTACGGTGTTTTGAAATAATCAGGACGTTATTTTTTCCTTAATCCAGTTATTGCAAAACAATGCAGCTCACGCCTTTCTTTTATCTCTGTATGCGTTTGAAAATATTATATCTTGTTATTTAAGTTTCAGTAAGGTTGCCTTCACTCATCAGTCTCGATAATAGCTGCTGCTGAAGAGGTAAAGACAAGATTAATAATCAAGGCCTGTCGTTTCTTGCAGAGAAACCTGGCATCAGTCCTGTGAACATCGTGCCAGACGGTCGCTACAATCACATCGTGCAGGTGCAAGACAGGTTAAGCTTCCTACGCTTCCTACTGAAAGATGGACAGTTGTGGCTGTGCGCTCCACAAGCGAAACAGATCTGGCACTGCCTTGCTGAAAACGCAGTCTTCACTGCAGACCGCGAAGCTTGCTTCAAGTGGTTTTCTAAACTAATGGGAGACGAACCTGACTTGGACCCTGATATCAATAAAGAATTTTTTGAGAACAATATCTTGATGCTCGACCCTAAGCTCCTTACAGAACACGGTATGCGCTGCTTCGATCGTTTCTTCAAGGCTGTGAATTTTAAAGAAAATAAGTTGATGCTCAAAAGGCGCACCTATTTAACAGATGATGTTGACCTCATTGGTACAGACTATTTGTGGAAAATACTTTTGTGTGGTAGTGAAGACATGGCTAACAGAGCCATTGAGTTGCTTAAAGAAACTTTCACAAACCTGGGACCCCGACTCTTGCCTCTACAAGGTGCCATTCATGAAGAATTTGTGAACAACGCTATGTCGCGTCTGAAAGCCATGGCCAGCACAGTGTCTTGTCTCAGCCACAGCGACGCTTGTGAGACGCTAAAGCAGGAAACAACTCGCATGTGTCGCGTACTGAAAGTCTTGTATGAGTATGTGGTTGAATGTGATGGTGAGTTTGGTGACGAGCGCACCATTTTACCGCTTAATCGTGCTTGGCGTGGTAAACACATGTCAGTGACTGTGCGCTTCCAGTCACAAACACGTCAGCCAGAAGAGGTGGAACTGTGGACCCACACAAACGACACAGTGGGGTCACTTCGGCGTCAGCTGATGCAGCGGCTCAAAGCTGCGCCGCCCAACATGCGTGTTGAGATGTATCACAATAACGAGCTCCTCGACCCTTCCAACGATAGCAAAGTCATCTCGACGCTGCCTCTTAAGGATAAAATGGTTAGAATAATCTATTGTATGCTTCTAGTGCAAAACCATTATTAAAGTCATCCATCATGCATTTCTATGTTTTGCAGACATAATGATATATTATCCTATAAAATATCATAGGGGAAGGTCAAGCATAGAATTATAGGACAATTTTAGTGTTGAAAGTCAAATGAGACAGTTTTAAATAGATTCTGTATTCATTCATGGACTTCTCGGTGTTATTAAGAGCAACGTTTAAGCAAATGACGTTATTGATTGGATTTGGGTGTCATGTTTCCATACGATGGTTGAAAAGCATCCTCCTAAAATAAATTGCAATCAATTGCGCAGGTGTTGACGGGCAAGCTAGCTCAGGTAGGCAACAATTTGCCTTCTTCACCAGATTCTTCTTCCGATTCTTCGCCGGGCTCTCCTCATCACCCATATGATGGTCCCAACAACGAAGCCGAGAACTGCTTGCCAGGTGCGATGGTCAAACTGGCTTGCGTTACAGAAGTGGAAACTTGTGATAACTTGCTCGCGTTATTGAGGTTAAAAGTCGGGATAACTTACTTGCGTTATAGAGGTTAAAAGTCGGGATAACTTACTTGCGTTACGGATATGGAAAGTCGGGATAAGTTGCTCGCGTTACAGAGGTTAAAAGTCGGATAACTTACTTGCGTTACAGATATGGAAAGTCGGAATAATTTGCTTGCCTTATAGAAATGGAAAATCGGGATAACTTGCTTGCATTACAGAAGTTAAAACTCGGTATAAAACTTGCTTACCTCACAGATTTAGTCAAGTGTGCAGGATGTTTGTCAATTCAAGAACGAGAAGAGATGAAAGCTCAAATGAATTTAGATTTTGTATTTGACATTAAATTTTGTATTTGGTCTGGAGCTAGACATGCATAACCTTTTAAAAACCCTTGTCAGAGTACATAATTTTACAACGTTGTGGTCTTACCGAGTGTGGGTACAGTTGTGCTCATGAAATCTGACTAGGGTCAATGAAAATTCTTTTCATCCAGAAGGATAAATTTTTTTGTATATCGATAGATTTGAATCGTTGAATAGATTATAAAGCAGTCAAGTTATGTAAAGAACTCTTGAAAACTCTCTAATTCAATAATTACAGGTCCTTGGAATCTAAAGTAGGGCGACCGTACGCTATTTTTGACATATTTTATGAAGCATTAATGATTTCAACATTTTACTCATTGTAATTGTTTGCATTTAGGGGTGATATTAGCTCGTAACCGCGTGGACGCGACCTTCATAGTGGAGCTTGCTGATCTCGGCTGCACTCTTCAGCTGCCCGCCCTCAGAGACGCTGCTAGGGCTCTGCTCTCAGTCATGCCTGCAGGGCATCACACGGGTAAGATCATACATGGGCTAAATTAGCATTGGCTTGATGTAGTTCCAACATTATTAAATTTAACTTGTCTTGCTTCTTCATTCATACTGTTATCAAAATTATAAATTATTATGAAGATTTTCTTTTTCATTTGAAGAAGAGTTGGATGTAATAAGTAGTCTTGAGAAACTAGTTACGAGGGAAATATATTTTGAAAAGTATTATTTTAATTCGCACGTTCCAATAATGCATTGTTATCTGGTAACAGTGACTTCATAGTTGCTAATTTTACAATATTGAATTACCGATTCTAATAGACTAACACATTTTCCTATTGAGTATTAAATGCTAAAGGTTGCTCATTTTTCCTCATTTGGTATTAGGTTGAATCTTTAAATCAGTCACTTGGAGCTAACACAGAGTTTGGCTTGTAATGGAAATTTAGGTGCGATAATTAATCGAAGAATTTCCACGTTAGGCATCGTGGATAAAATCCTATTCTGCGCGTAAATTGTGTTATTCACTGATCCGTGTGCAATTTGTGTGAATACTATATTATACGAGATTTCTAACCAACCTGTTGGTTACGTCATCGATAGCTTTTATCTGATTATGGCCAGTTTCTGTAATTTCGAAACCTATTCCCTCTAGTTACTTCAATATCAGTTAAATTAGGATGCTGATTAAATAATTCATATCTACTTAGTCTGAATGTTAGAATATGAAAAAGAAAATTAATTGAATTTGTATAATAGATAGGTTTGATAGGAGAAGACTGCTGCTTCGTAGCAAAATTGAATATGTTGTACATTCCTTGCAGTGGTTGAATTAACTTCGATCTGCGTGGAGCACGCCATGTCTTCCACTTCGCCCGTGTCGGGCAAGTTGGAAAAACTTCTATTCTTTTCTAGCCCCTCTACCGTACTCTACAATCTCCAGGTCAGTCACGAAGCCGGCATAAACTTGTAAAATTATCATTCTTAACGACCCTTGCAAGTAAAACACGCTGTTATATGTATGGTTTAGTCATGCTTTAATTTGCTTGTTTTTTGGATAAATTGAGTCAAAATGTTCAAGGCTTGAATAATTAGTTGGAATTTTGAATTGATCGTTCTGATCCATGTCGCTGCTTCATCGCGTTCACGTATGAAGTTGAAGTTATTTGCTTAGGAAATTTTTTCTATTATTTCTTATCACGTGAGGCTTAAAATCTTTTGCTTGATGTGAATTGATCTCTGGTAAATGATATTAATATTATATGCTCTGTAACGGAGATTTGTACTACAGGTGATGTACTCGATGCTCATGCCTGCTGCAAATCTCCTTAGTGAAAAAGCAATAGAATTCCAATTCAATTTTATGAGAAGTGGAGGTGTGAAGCTCGTCATTGGCATGCTCACCAAAAATAACTTTTTATCGGAAGCTGATGTTAGCACAAAAAGGTGAGTTTATAGCAGGTGCTAATACATCTATATTTATTAATTAGAAATATGTGTGGTATAATGCTGTAGTATTTTTTCATTCATATTCCTCTATCCATATTCATTTAAGTGTAAGGAGCAGGTTCACGCATGAATTGATGCATAGCCTCCACCGTCTGTGTTATAGCGTTTGCGTGTTTTATTAAATTCATTCAAGTTTATTCACTAAGCGCATATAGCCTTGCATTGTATGTACGTAATTTTGGGCAGATCTGCGCTACTCCTGGTTGTGAAGATAGCCAAATTAGTGTTCGTGACGGTAGGCTACACGTTCGCCAGCATCTTGACCGCTCACTCGCCGGCATCTGGAGCTGTGAACGGAGGAGTTCCTTGTGAAGGGCTCGCAGGCGCCGCAGTGTTAGCTCTTAATGAGGGCGTGCAGCTGAATGTCCTGCAACAGGCCCTGCCGCACATCCCCAGCAGCGTGGGTGACTGCATGATCAGGAGTGTTGCCTTGGCGCTCTCCAAAACTCTGGTGCACAACATCAGTGCCTCTCCAGCCTCCTCGCAGTTGGTAAGTTTTGTATTTCGCTTTCACCAAGATTTATTGGTGTAGCGTTAGTTATTTTACGCTCTTTGGCAAGGAATAACGTTTTCATTTATGATCCATCATTTAATTATGAAGAGAGCAGATTTTTTCATTTAAAATTTTTTTATATCCGTCTTGAGTTCTTATTAACGATTTCTTATCCAAAATTGCCACGATTATATGCCATTAGCATACACTGTGAAATAACCATCTGAATGTGTCTACTCCTCTCTCTCTAACGACGTATGCTCGCCAGTTGTGTGGGGTGGTGCCTGATCACTCGCTGGTCAACTCTCTACTATCGATCATCTGGTCATGCTCTGCTGGAGCTCCTCACCTCATCACTGGATCCGGCGACACGCAGGGCTCCAGTGACCAGACCACCAAAAACAATAACGTGTCGCTTGCCTCGTCATCTGGCGGAGGAGAACCCGTGCGAGCCATGCCTGATGCTGAAGACTTGCAGCTCTGCTGCGAAGCACTCGAGACTCTCGCGGTCGTCCTCATGCTGTGTCCTGCTGTGCTTGAGAAACTTTCTAAGGTAATCGAGTGGGCTTTACATATAAACTACGTTATCTATTTTTTTGCTAGCTCTATAAGATATTTGGGGTATATTTCAGTAATATTAAATACTGTAAAGCCAACATCAAATGATGAAAGCAGCGCTGTGAAAGCGTTTGACTGTCAAAACGACCAGTTAAATGTACATTTGCTTGGCCCTTGGCCCACGTATACACACACACCATCTTTAGATGTACTGATGAAATGTGATACATTCTAGTTAGGAAAACTTCTGATGTATATTCGGTAACGAAGTGTGTGAGATATAAATTGGTTATGCATTAAGGCCTGATATTAGCTATATTACTTGACTCCTTCAACTTCAAAGAAAGAATTTTTTTGTAATCGGCGAACGGAGGCATTCAGACACACTCCAAATATTGGCTACTAGCTATTAACTTTTTCATTTATTTCATCGTTTCATTGTTTGATTAATTTCTAACATCTTGTATTGATTCTCAATGAATGTGGTAGGTAATTAATTTGTTATATTGCTTTTGGGCAGGACTCTCAGTTCAAGCAGCTAGTGATATCATTGGTGCTGGGTCAATGTGACAAGACTATTCGGCACTGTGCTGTGGATCAGCTGCTTCTTATAGCGACCAAGTGTACTTCTTCATCCAACACTCTAGTGTTGTTCATTGCTATGCTCTTCAATGTCCTTAATGCGGCTGATCTTCAACATCCGTCCGGTATTAAAACCCCGGCAATTGCCTACACCAAGGAATATTTTCAAGTGAGTCGCTCTGATATTTTTAATTCCAAGTTGATAACTCACACGTTTCTCCATTGCTGTATTTATGAAAGTGCTACTAAATAACGTGTTTTTAATATCATTGTGCATTTACCATCACTGTTCTGCTGGTCGGGAAATTTCGGGATTTATTACAATTCTTTACTCGAAGTATTGTAAAACTGCTTTAGGGGTTTCCAACTCTGTAATGAGCATAATCCATCAGATGATGCTCATCACAATTACTCTAAAAATGTTTATTCCTTTATTTTTTTATTAAACGAGTTTTTGTGCTAAAAATATTTTAATCCTCGGTTAATGCTCCTACACAGTTAGTATATGCGTTTTGCGTTCAAAATCTCTTTGATTTAAAGCTCTTTAAACAGACCTGGCGACGTGTTTCGTTAGAATTCAATAAAGTTTTCAAACGTTAAGGTGGGACTAATAGTTTGGCACTACTTCACCGTAAAGAAAATACCACTTCCATTAATCCGATTGACCATACCTCCAGCGTAAAAAGGACGATGCTTTCCTGAAGCACTAAAAAACCTACAACTATCACAGCCATAACTTAATTCGTCTATTTGTGATTTATTGTTTCAGCTATTGTGCGGATTACTTCACTCCGCTTGTGCGACTGGGGTCGGCATCAACGAAGTAGAATCGCTGTTGGAGTCAGAAGTTATTTGGCTTAAAAGTGTGGCGCGCTACACACGAGCTGCTGCCGCCGCCGCTGCGTCTCACAACAAACTTGGGGACGCTGCTGTTCAAGAAAGTGGGCCTTCCAGCGTCGCTACTACCAGCACTGGAGGCTCTTGTACTGTTGCCACCTCCAGCAAAGGGTCCAGCAATGGCGAGACTGCAGTTGGAACATCATCTCCATTGGGCTTTTCTGCTCTGCCGACTCCAGATCCTACTCTCTTGGAAGGACACTTGAACGTCACTAGAGAATTGCTTGCATTCCTAAGCCCCCATACCAAGTATTGTGTTGGTGGCGACCCAAACACTGGCATTCTTCTCATCTTAGAAATCATTGAAGATTTTATATTTCCCTTTTCTAAAGTATATTTACAATTAGAACAATCGACGGTGATCCCGACCGAACATGTAAACCCTGTGTGCTCGACGCAAGCAACTGTGATAGCAGCCTACGATCTCCTAGTCACTCTCTGCACCGGCTGTGCTCCTAACCTCGCTATTGTTGCCGACATGCTCACCAAAATGTTTTACTCAGGTAACTAGCAAGAGTTTTGATAATTTGTATGTTTGTTTCAGTATACAATTATTTTAATTATATTCCAACGTTTTTTCTGATTCCAATCCACCAATCAGCTTTCCTAAGTGGTAGCTATATCACATGCAAAATAAGCTTCTCTAGTTTTTTAAAGAATTTTGCTAACTCGATGGTTAAATTGAATTTTTTTGTTTCTCATGAATCTATTTGATATTTCAGCAAATGAAGAGTGCATCAGGGAGTGGGAGTATCTGCCTGCTGTAGGACCACGTCCGCCTAAAGGTTTTGTGGGACTTAAGAACGCTGGTGCCACGTGCTACATGAACTCTGTGCTGCAGCAGCTCTACATGATTCGTCAAGTCAGGTGTGTGCAGTTATCAGGTAAAGACGTGAAACTTTGTTCTTGTATAAAGCGGTTAAAGACGGACAATATATTGTCACCGAGAACACTAGTCTGGTAGCAGAATGTATTCTACTAAAAGTTGAACCGAAAATTTTTTTTCAATTACTTATGGCCAGATAATATTTAGCGCGAATTTTCCTTGGCTACAGGGAGGGAGTGCTGGGTGTAGAAGGAGCTGCTACAGACCCTGAAGAGGACTTCAGTGGAGAAGAGCGTGCCGAGGCCGAGTCCGCTAATGATGGTAATGAGGAGGAGTTCTCCGGCGAAGGCAGTGGCAGCGAACAGTCCCGCAAAGAATACAATATTTCGATACTCAAGCAAGTCCAAGCCATCTTCGCCCATCTTGCCTGCTCCAAGCTGCAGTATTACGTCCCCAGAGGACTTTGGAAGGACTTCAAGTGGGTTCATCTCTGTTGATCTTTTTAAACAGACTTTTTTTAATTTTCAATATCGTCACTTTAGTCTATTTATGAAACCTTTAATGCTTTCTTTTTAGTCACAAAGAAGAAGTAGTTATATTATTATCGAATTATATACTGTATTTTATGACGTACTGCACAGTTATTGTAGAATTAGTCATATCGACCCTCAGTCAAAATGAATTTGATGACCAATTTCTTTGCAAGTGAATTGGTACAATATCATATCCTTAGGAATTATTAATGATTAAAAATCTGTATTAAGTGTCGTGTTTCCTCTAATATCTTTCTAGACTGCAAGGCGAGCGTGTGAACTTGCGCGAACAGCACGACGCATGTGAGTTCTACAACATGGTTGTTGAGAGCATTAATGAAGCTCTGAAGGCATTGGGCTACCCACAGCTCCTTAACACCTACTTAGGCGGCTCCTTTTCCGATCAAAAGATCTGCAAAAGCTGTCCTCACAGATACTCACGAGAAGAGGCATTCACTGTAATTAGCATAGATATTCGAAACTATAGTAATTTACCAGACTCTCTAGAGCAGTACGTTAAAGGCGACCTGCTCGAAGGAGACAACGCCTACCTCTGTGAGAAATGCGACAAGAAAGTAGACACGGTCAAACGGATATGCCTGAAGAAACTTCCGCCCATCCTTGCAATTCAATTGAAAAGGTTCGACTACGACTGGGAGAGAGAAACTTCCATCAAATTTAACGACTATTTCGAATTTCCACGAGAACTTGATATGGATCCATACACAGGTTTGCCGTCTGCTTAAATAAATAATAATAATAAATTTGTTGTGTGCTAAAATTAATTTGGTAAATATATTCTTTTTAAATATAAACTTATTCATGTGTTCGCAGATCACTTTAATCATGTACATTTTTTCTTGTACCTAATTCTATCTTCCGATTTGAAGACGTTTTACAATTTTTTCTTTCAAAATCATCTCGTTCCCAATCAATATCTGCAGTTGCTCATAATTTAGCTGTGAAAATATTTACAGTGTGATTGAAAAAGTATTAAAATTAATTACTTGGAATCTTGTGAGAGAGTTCTAACATTTTTGTTCATTCATTAGTGCGAGGGCTTGCTCGAAATGGCGAACTCATTGCCTTCGACGAGTCTGACTTGGAGGGCGGATCTGAATGGTGCAGCCGCTACCGACTCACCGGCATCGTTGTTCACTCCGGTCAAGCGAGCGGCGGTCACTATTACAGCTACATCTGTCATCGAAGTGGACATGAAAGTAAATGGTACAAGTTTGATGACGGCGAAGTGACTGAATGTCGTATGGAGGATGATGAAGAAATGAAGAACCAGTGCTTTGGAGGTGACTACATGAGCGAACAAGTTTTTGACAACATGATGAAACGAGTTAGCTACCGCCGCCAAAAACGCTGGTGGAACGCCTACCTTCTCTTCTACACCCGTGAAGACGTTGACAAGGAGCAGATGATTTCTTCCTTGTCTGAGATGTCAATAGGTAAGGAAGTTCTCTCTCGCTTTCATTCAAATCCAAATTCTAGCCCTTAACTGTTTGTGCAATTTTTCAATAGAACTCACTTGAAGTACATTATCATCTGCTTATATTTGATTACTGTGCATGAATTTAAGTTTACTGTTTTGAAATTGTTCATTTATCCTTTTTAAAATCACCGAAATTATCGTTTTGTCATAATTAGAATGCTTGACTGAATTTCTGTACCCATACCAGCGGATAGACCCAGCCTGCTGAAGATGCCAGTGGCCATGGAACGCTCTGTTGTGAGGCAGAATGTGCGTTTCATGCACTCCCGCTCGCAGTTCTCCGTTGACTACTTCCACTTCCTCAAAAAGCTTCTCATGGCAAATCATTCTTTCGTTCAGAGGGCTCCTGCCGATAAAGTGAGATGAACGTCTTATGCTGCATGTGCAATGAATTCTCTTCCCTGGTGATGTCTCTTAAGTTTTTTAACGTTATTTGCATCTTGATAAGAATGAAACTGAGTTCATACTTACTTTGTAGGATGATTTAGTTTAGGATGCATGAGGTTTTTGATAATTTTTCATGATTTTGCGTGTAAATATTCCGGTATTCATCATTCTGTTTTGATAATGGGTAAATAATTTTTTTTTCTAATGCTAGAAAGGATGGAATAGAGATGAGTTAATTGCTTCCTTCTCTCGTTGCCGATAATTACAATGATTGTGTGGTCGGGATTGCAGGTGCGAGAGGTTGAGCAAATTGGTCTGGTGAGCACCCAGCTTGGCAGCAAATTCCTGTTCATGGTTGGCCTGCACACGAAGAAGACCCTCAGAGGACCAGCCCAGGAGTGGTACGACGCTCTCCATGTGAGTATTTTTTTGCTATGAACCCAAACCTTTTTTTCACACTTCGAACATATTCCGTCTAAATGATTGAATATTTTTTGTCATTCAAATTAGTTTTAAAATTATTCTTATCAATCATGCAGTGTCTTGAAGTAGTCTAAGTTACATTTATCATGAGTCTTTCCTATTAATAAGGTTAATTTTTATGTCAGGTTCACTTGCGTTCGTCGAGCCGCAGTCGAGTGTGGTTTGTGAAGCACTTGCTCTTTGGTAGCGGTTTACCATTGAGTGAATACTTGCTCGAGTGTCCCACAGCCGAGGTGCGACTCGTCTTCAGCAAGTTGTTGGTGACTGTGGCTCACTCGACGCGCTCAGATCCGCCGCTCACCGGGGTTGCCTTGTCAGCTGCTGCTGCCGCTCACGCTTCATGTGCGTTCTATACACTTGAATTAGGTGACACCCGCAGTATTGCAAGGAGATAATGAAACCGTTTTACTTCCATTATCCGAGTTATCGATTAAAATAATAGCAAATGGGCTGAGAAATCGTTATTATGTATTCCTGTTGGTGATCAAGTTAACGAACGATTTATTATTGCGACATTTAATACGCAGAGCAAACTAAAATCCATGAAGTTAATTGCCAGTTCATTAGAGCAACTTCCGAACTTAGATTAGCAAAGAAACATAAATGGTCAGTAAAACTAGGCTTACTTTTTCCTTGGTGCTGCATATTCAGCGGTGTAACATAACATTAATTAACAATTACAAACGTATACTGTCTTACCTTTAATCCTATCTTTATCTTATTGTATACTATCTTATATTTTATCTCGTATTCCGTATACTGTGTTTACAGTGTGGAGCAGCCTGAGTGACCAAGTGTTAAGTGCTGTGCTCATGTTGGTGCATCGGGAGCTAGCCGAGCATTGCCGTCATCTGCCTCAATACTTCCATTTCTTCAACATGTACGCCGCACTTGGCTTGCCAGAGAAGCGGCAGCTTCTTAAGGTATCGGTTCTGACCGCAATCAGCTTCTTTTGATGTATTTCTCTACCTAATTTATTTGTTGACGTTTTACTTTTTAAATTTATTCAGTCATGTAGTTAACTTGAAAATTCATGAGTATTTTCTTGCGCTACCTGTGCTTGAAACTTTCAACTCAGTTCACATTTATACTGGGCTGGCGGCATTTTAATGTATCAATTCACTGCAGCTAAATGTAGCTGAGACGTTGATGAGTCTAGCAGTGGACGAAGTGGCTGGTCCTGGCTTGAAGTCCTCTTGTGCTGACCTCACGAAGCTGTACCAGGTTGTTGCTCAGCTCATTCGGTGCTGTGACCTCTCGTCCAAGTGCCACTCTTCAGTGCCCGTGAGTTTAAGTCCCTAACATCCATTTCTGTTACGCAGCAATAAATATTTCCAGAATATGTTTAAAAACATGCAACCAATGGGCATGTTATTTCTGTGCTTCACGCTTATGATCCCTTACTTCTATTCCAGAACACCACTCCTCTCCCGAACCCTCACAGAGACCACACTTGCCAGCAGCTCCTCATGATCATCCAGCCCAGAGTTGCCGAGTTGCTTTTTGGAAAGCCCATGTAAATAAATCCCTATTAACTTTCATGTAATATTCCCTTTGTATCATTGATAAATTACTACGTGCTTGTGGAGCTTTAAATTTGTTTAAAATACTTATAATCATATTTTTCTTTACATAAAATATTGATAATGTCAGTATTAAGAAAAGTTTTTGAAATTAAATTTCATAACCATCATGTAACTCTTTTTTGCCACAGCTACATCAAGAAAGTGATCGAGGAAGCCCATAGTAGCGAGGAGACGGTGAAGCTCCTGAAGTATTGCTGCTGGGAAAATCCAAACTTCTCTTCTGTTGTCCTTGCGGAGCTGCTTGCACAGGTAACATTCGTCCTATTTTCATGTATGGTCAGAAAGATCAAATAGAGTTTAATTTACGGTATGTGATCTTGCGAGAGCATGGTTGAATCAATTTTATTGCTACCGTTGAAGTGCCAAGCAAGTATTTAATTTATTATGCTTGCCAAACTCTTGTTACTATTTTCAGGTTGCTTATGCATACACGTACGAAATGCGACCGTTCATAGACCTCCTACTGCACATGCTGACACTTGAAGACTCCTGGCAAGAACACAGATTACACAACGCACTAAAGGGTAAGTTCAAAATCTTCATCGTGGCATCATCGATGAATTCTTACAAAACACTTCCACATCATCACTGTGATGGAATGAATGAAGTCGGTGAATTTTAGTTGGAGGTGTTGATGTGTAAGTAGTAGTTCACTCTGTATTATATTTGATCAGGCATTCCAGACGAGCGAGAGGGTCTGCTCGAGATTGTGCAGCGGACCAAAAGTCACTATCAGAAGCGTGCGTACCAGTGCGTTAAATGCCTCGTGACGTTGTTCTCCTCCTGCCCTGCTGCCGCTCTCATGCTGGCTGGTACTCCGGAAATTAAGGTAACATCCAATAGTTCCTTTGATTATTTCACAAAAGATAATTGTATGACTTACATAATACGGCTAATGATCTGAACATATTATTTACCACCGTTTTATGTATGCTGTTGTATTTATTTTCTTTGGATTTAGACCTTTTATTGTTGGATGTTGAGACTTGTTTCATTACAGCGTCGGTACACGGAGTGCGTTGAATGGCTCAATGAAGAACTAAATCGTCGCAATTTCTCGGTGGCGAGCCAACAGTATTACAACAGCTGGTCTCCACCTGCACCAAGCAATGAAACCAGCAACGGCTATTACCTGGAGCGATCAGCCAGTGCTAAAATTACGCTCGAGAAGGCGTTGGAGCTTTGTCCTGAGGAGGTGATTTTAAAATGACTTACTGATAACTCCACATCAATGTACGACTTCCTTCCGGTACTGGGCTCTTGAATTTTATTACGAATCGAGGCTTTCTCCGGTGAAGAAAAAGGTTATCCAATAAAGACTACTCACTAGTACCAGAGAATCAGAATGAACGAATTGATTCTCTGGAACTGGGATTTGTGTTTACCTTTTTGATGTTTCATGTTCTTTTCCTTTTTTGTTCACAGTGCGAACAAGAAGCAGATGACGAGGCAGGAGACGAGGGTAGTAGCAACAATAGTCAGGCATCTGCTGCGCCTGCCGCTGGGTAAATTTCACTCGCTATTAATGAATCGCATCTGATTATGTTTGAACGTTATTTTAAGCTGAGGTAATGAGTTCAATCCTTCAAGGAATGATTTTGAACTGTGATTTTTTTTAGGTTGACTTTAATTTTTGATGATTTATCGTCAGACTTTCCGTTCATTTCATGACTTATCTGAAGAAACAGTTCGTCCCTTTTTTAACACGTTTTTCTTTACTCAGCTTCGCGTTTGTTTGTTTGTTTGTTGTTAGTTAACATTGACAACGAAAATTAGCCCACTTCTGATTGCTCTAGAGATCTGAAAGTCGGCATGCAGGCTATTTTCGCCTAACAATTTCAGATACAATCATAAAAACTAGCAATTATATTGTTGTGAATGTTGAATAAATGTTGGGTTTGCATATCATAATTGTGGGTTACAATAATTTTATTTTTACCATGTGTTCAGCGCCGATAATAAGATAGAGGCTCCGGGACAGCAACAGCAACCGCAAGCGCCTCCACAACAGCCTCAACAGGATCCTGATGGGAACGCTCTTGAAGCTCCTTATTGAGCTCAGACCATCGTTACCAGGCTGGACACTAACCGCTTCGTACAGGGACAAGAAAGAAAAAGGATTCGAGTCTTCTTCGCCTAAGAATGATTGACATCGGTAATGCAAATTATAAAGCTGTGCCCCATGACGACGGCGATATTTATCAGGAACGTGTTTGAATTATTAGCCACGATAAATTTCTCTGAAATAAGCTAATTTCTCAAGTCTTTGTTGTTGTGTTCTGTTAGCATATCTTCGTAAAAGATTACTCGTATCATCAGCAATTATTTGCCGCTAGTATTTTTTCACCCCCTGATTCCTAATTAGACTTTATTAATCACGCCACTGTTCCATAGTATCTGCCGAATTTTATCTTGATCTTTCCTTGTAAGAATATTCTCTTGCATGGAACACTTTATTTCGATATTTTTTGTTTTAATCGTGATTTATTCTTATTTTAATTGTCCACTTGCAATGCAAGCATAATTTTGCAGAGAATATTATTGGTATGCACAATTGTTTTCTATGGCTCTTGAAGAGCCATGTCATCGATATGATATTCACACAAGGATTGTGATTAACGCCACGGTCTGGGGAGCACGAGTTTTCATTAATATTTATCATTTTGAAAGAGCTCTTTTGAGTTAAGTTGGTATTAACATACTCAAGGAAAGCTAACGTTTATCAATGGCCCGCATATTGCTGGGCTTACGTCTTTTCACGTCTTCTGTTCTACATTCTAAGACGTTTTTATTAATAACTTTGAAGATGCAAGCACAGACTTAAGAGTCTGGGAAAGCTACTTTTTCTATAGGCATTACTGCGTTCCCAATAATTGGAAATAGAATTTAGGTTAGGCGCACTTTTGTAAGAAGTATTTAGTGGATGCTGTGATAATAATACCTTACTTCTCTGTCGCTACTCAACTTATCGAGACCAAATAAATCGTACCGCTAACTTATGCTGCGTCTTTCACAGCAGGTTTCACGACACACGCGTGCGTTGGAATTATTGGCACGCTTCTGTGTTCGTCCTCAGAGTTCAATGTTCACCGAAATTCTTCGAAAAACCAAATTAGCTCCAAACTCTAACATCAATTTGTCGGTTCTTAGAGTTCATTCGTGCAAATTTACACAATAGCGTCACTTCGTTTTCCTCAGTGAGCATCGAAGTGTGGTTTAGTCCAGTTATTAACGTATCCCATTTTCCTTGAATGGCCTTATTTCTCATTCTGTTCAAAGTTGGGAGAACAATGACTTGTAAAAAAAACTATTAAGGTCTACATTGAACTCGTTATATACTTGGTCAAGTTCATTTAAGAATGAAATTGCAAATATACATAGATAAGTTCTAAATATTTCATTCTTTTTTCTTGGCTTGCTGGTTTACTCGCTGATTTTGATGTTGTTTTCAGTCATCGTGATGTTTAGGAACTGTGAAGTGACCATAAGTGGCAGTCGATTTCTAGTCAACGTATTGAATTGCCGATTCTTTTCATTTCACTGCAAATACCGAGGCTTTGGCGCTTTCATTCTTCTATGACTGTTCTTCCTGAGTTATAAGTGAACGCTCGTGAATTGAAATACGATTTTCTTTAACAAATGTTCGTCAAGAATGACACTGTAAAACCTTGCACTGTCAATTGAGAGCGATGGATCTGGTTACAGCTATTTGTATGGTCCTGATAAGTGAATAAGTTTTCAACTCAATTTGCCATATGCGACCAATCGCTAAAAATATGGTTCATATGGGGAGTTGACTCGGCTCGGCTTTGCGTAGAGGCGTCGTACTGGTGCGCTCCTCTATTGCAATCGAAGCATCTGTCAGGAGCATATAGGGTTAAAGTTGATCGCACTAAAAAAAATGGAGGATTTAAACTACGGGATACAAATTCTTTTTTACATTTGTGTAACTCAAGCTTGAAACATTTTGATATCGTTTGTTCAGTGAACCGGTAGTTCCAACCGCTTAAACCTATAAAAATGTTTGAGTGTTATAGTGTGAAATAAAATTGGTATCTCCGATTCGCTTTGTTATACTTTCAATGCTTATGAGTTAGTTTTCTTTAACTTGAATTTTCGTAAACTCTACGCTGCAAAAAAAAGCTAAAATAAGATGTGTGCAGTTGCTGCTCTCAGCGAGTCCTACTAGCTGTTTCTGTAGTTAATTGTTCATTGCAATCAATATCATCTTTACAAGTATTGTAGTTGTTATTTTCTACGTTGTATCTTAATTATCTGTAAACGTGTAGTGTGATGTGGCTCAATAAGTAATTTGTTTATGCTCGTGAAAAATGCATCTGAAGTTTTATCACTCGAACGTGTATCGAAAAACTTGATGCGTCGCTGCCCACATGGAATGTATTTTCTGATATATATTTTTGAGCTTGACTATGCCGTATCTCAACTAGATAATTATAAACTTGATATGTAACACTGACTTGCTTGAAGCTTCAGTCGGAAGCGGGACTTTTGCGAGGATACCTTAACAAATGCCAGACGTGTGGGCCGGCCGTGAATGGTGATGCTTGCGCATGGTATCTAATAAATATATTGTCCCACGGTCTGTTGCTGCCTGTCGTTATCCTGGGAATAAGGGACGTATTGACATTCATCAATCTGGTAAGGATTGACGCGTCGCCCGTCTAAAGACTTGCTGTGAACGAGCGACGTCGATCGTCTGCTTCAGACGATGCCTTCTCTCCTTAGGTTTTTACTAATGATAACTGAAGCGCGCTGTGTAAGATTTGTCTCCGTACATGTAAATATTTATATATAAAACTCGGTCTAGTTACTCTGGAGTCTCCTCACGCGGAAAAATAATCTGATCGCATTGCCATCTATTTTTTTTTTTGAAGGAGCATAGCAATTTTCTGTTGACTAGGTGCGGTTTGAAATTATTTTTTACGCCCTCTGACGGGAACTATGAAGCTTCGCTAATAATAAATCTACCTTCGGTATCCCTACCAGAACTTTGCGTATTGAATTGTTATCTATATCCTTACCAATAAACATAACAGGAAGAACTTTGAGTTTCATTCTTTGATTTATACATCTTCCTTCAAGTACTGAAACCCGACTTACTGTGTCAACTGTACTGCGTTAAAATCTGAATCCATGTTCTTGAATATGGGAGTGAATTGACGCAACGAGAGCGAGCATTTGTTTGGTAAAAAATTGTCTCCATGCGTAGCCAAGTCTACATGCACGTCAGTATCACTACGACGTACAATTTTGATATTCTTACCCATGACAGCATGGGTCAGAATAAAACTGAAGTGTAAGAATATGATGAAATTAGTTACTCGTGGGTTTTGATCACACTTAAAACGAAACTATGAGTACTTAAGGAAAAAATAAGCAACACTGATATTCATTGCAACGTACAAGCGTTCTCGTCAAGATAATGGACGTTTGTAAAGAGAACTAGCGGATGTTGAGAACAAACTTCTTCAATCAATGACGTCAGCTCTATCACGCTAATTTCATTTTCCTAGCGTTGGTATTCGATACACAAGACATTCGATATTTATTTACTGTCATTGAATCGGGTAAGCTTACAAAACAATGTTTACAGTTTTGTTTTTGAGGTAATGAAAAGTTATGCTTTGGAAATAAGTACTTAAATATACAGAAAAATTTTGTGAGGAAGATTTTTTGGAGACACGGTGATCACGCGGCACAGAGTGAATTACACAGCAATGAAAATAGGAGTGAATTACACAGGCACATCACACTAACGGGCAATCAAGTAAATGCTAAGGTTAGTCTACGATGAAGGTTGCACTAGGAGGGAAGATAACCTTTGTCGACTTACATTTACCGAAATTTGTATATATAATAGCCATGGATTATTCAGAACTAGAATAGATGACGGTATAAAAAAGCCAGGGTTTGAATGCACCATGCCGAGACAATTTGTCGCAGGCCTACTCATAAGATTTGTTATGTACACTTTAGAGAGGATTGAACACATCTTCGCCTTAACAATCAATATGAGACACCGGTCACCAATGGAAACCAAGAAACTGTGTAACAAAAAAGGTAAACATTAGCGAATTCATGTAACACCTCAGCATCAGGTGCGAGCAACTAGCGTACAAAGATAATACATAAAAGAAACGAGAAAAAAGATAAATTAACACCGCAAACCTATACGCGAGCACATCGGCCAAGAATGAGAGTACTTAGGGTTCTGTCGAATAAAGGACGCCACAAAGAGGGCACTTCTCCGCATAAATGAAAAAGTGCACGTACGTAAACTATGCCTAATTTGCGTGTCTGTCGGAGTGCGGGATGGAGGCTCGGACCAATGCAATCAGAGCACACAAAAGAGTATCCGAGTAGACGGGAACGCAGCGATGCCTAACCATCAACGAAAACATTAGGTGCGCTCCAACGATGGCCCGTTGGCCTCGGGCTTACGAAGAGCCCCAGAACTGTGTAGGATAGTTTTTCGAGGCAGCCTTGCTTTGACCGCCGCTTGAGCTGCCGCGCTGGCCGCTGCTGCTACTTCCGTCCTGCACAATCATTGTTATGTTAGAAAGAATGTTTTAGTACAAATTCTCCAAAAATTTATTTACCAAACAATAGATGGTTCATCTGACGGAAACGTTGACAATTTGGCAATATTTCACAAAAGTAATTTTTTTTTTAATTTATAACCAGTACGTTTGGTTCTCATCTTTGATGTCAATATCAAATGCTGTTCCAACTGAAAATAAGTTCTCTAACCAATACTGCAAAATAACACGGTCGGTAAAACACGTGAGCGGTATCTCGGACGAAAATGGTCAACAGTTGTCATACCTGATGCAACTGGTGATGCATGAGGTTGGAGTGATGCTGAGGCTGCGGCAGAGGAGGCAGGAACACCTGGGGATGAGGGTAGGGACCACCAGCAGAACCCGCCATGTTGAAGGGCGGCGGGGTGCTCGTGTGGAACCCGGGCTTCTCATACGACTGTACAACATTCAAATTAATATTTGCGCCAAATACATGTTATCCAAGTTCTTGTGGTAATTATTAATAAATAAAGTGCTTTTTGCAGCCGTATGGGAGGGAATCATTTATCAAGCTTTTAGCGTGGAACCTTAAGAACATCCGCATCAGACACGGCCACCGTTAACGCTCAATTGAATTGGAAGACATTGCAAATTGTAACAAATGTGAATTTGCATTGGGTAGAAATGTCTTCGCTAGAGAAAATAATATACGTGTTGCTTAATCATTCTCGATTTCTGGCAAAAAATCTCTGCCTTACCTTCTCTAAATCGCAATTAGTTAATTTTCAAGCAATATAAGCAAACTTGGCTTACTAACGTTAACTTGAAATTAAAGAACCAACTAGCAAATAATTGCCATCGGAAACCAAAGATACACTCATAAATCGCATCTTTTATCTTGCATGTAGATATCATGAAAAATTTCATAACTAATACATATCGACAACAATTATGGAGTCTAACTTTATTCTTATTAGTTGACCTTACTCAGCTTTACTCAAAGAACCGTGCAAGATATGTAAGGTAGAGACTCATAATAAAGTGAAAAAGTATTTACCTTGGCCAGATGACTCTTGTATGGTAGTTCTGCAACAGAGCTGTTCATGCTACCCTGACTGCTGCCAACGCCTTGCTTGCTGCTACCTTGGCTGCTGCTGCTGTAGCCTGTCTTGTAGTCTCCAGTGCCCTGATAATGTTTAGACATGGTCATTATGGAAACTCTTCACCTACTTTCATAGTGTAAGAAAAAGTTTCTAGATGTAGGAATCCAGTTGAAAATTGCAACTGAAAGTGAACTTGCTATATTTTCGCGGGTTACAACGTTCAAAATAATATTCATGACCTCATTACAGTGTCATCAAAATTTCAAGATATTTATTAATTAAATATATACGTCACTCATGATCTTGTTTCATGTAAATCACGATAACAAAATATCTATTGAATTTAATCCACAACGAAGCACCTGTGAGTCGTAGTACGTTGGCGCTGGAGCAGTAGCATTGTACTGGAGCTTAGGAGGTTGGAACTGTGAGTTGTTAGATCCCGTGTTTGCAGGTAATTGAATGATAGCTGGCGTGCCATACTGCGTGAAGGTGTTGGGCACAGCTACGTTCTGATGATACATGTAGAGCGGGTGCATTGCAGCAGCGTTGCCAGCGTTAGCCATGTAACCAGCATGACCTCCCTGTAATGTACAAGCTAAGCTTTATTCATTAGCACACAATAAAATAAATTCACACGTCGGTAGCTTGAAAATTATATCTATGGGATACAACATATTTGCAAGAGCTTTCATACAGCTCAATCATTGCAAGCTGTATTAAATTCGGTAAAATTCAATAATAACAGAAATTCAACTCGAGATAAACGTATGCCAGCATATAAGCCAGTCCAAAATTTTGTGACTCATAACTTAAGCATCACGCTGTGAGTAGATCAGAGAAACTATAAATGCAATATAATTAGGTTACCTGTCTCAGACCATCACTGCCCAGATCGCCATAAACTAACAATCTCTACCTGCAATAAAAAAGCTTCCAACAAGGCTGGCCCATCACGTTATAAGCCAAAAGCTACGAAAGACGTGAAATCTATAAACTATACCAACGATCCTCAGGCAAAGAGAGAAGTATACTATTACATAGAACAGTCCAAAGCGTGAAAAAAATCTACCCCTTTCAGACATAGCACTTCTATCTTTGTAGAAAGCATTACGTTAGCCATCAACGCTGCAATATTCATCCTTTGCCTCCGGTTGAACAGCCAATCGATAGACTCCTGTGTCCCGGAATAATTTTCTCGAAATGAATCGGGGCAAACTGAACGGGACGAGAAATGGCCGGGACAAAAATAACCGGACAGAGAGTAAAATTTGTCCCGGAATAAACGTATGAACGGGACAAGACTTGTGTACAAGACTAGACTTTAAAACTTGTGTCCCTGTAATTATCAAACGATAAGAGACAGATTGAACGGAAACAAGTAGTAACGTAACGAGACGACAGACATACCTTGAATATTCGAGACGAAACGAGATGTTCTGAGCGAGCGAATTAATGAATAACAAGTTAGCTCCTGTTTGTTAATGGGCAGTTGAAAGTCATGTGCAGATGTGGCGACATTTGTCTGCGAAACTAATTTGGCAGTTAAATTAGTGGGCAGATTTGGCGATGTATGGCTCGTTGTTGAGTGAATGATGTCGAACTACGCCTTACGTGAGAATTGTACGAGTTAGTGCGCGTTCCATACGAGTTCAGGCATGCATCGCGAATTGCGGACACATTTTCAATTAGTCAGACAATTAGAAGACTGTGGAATAGTTCTCTTTTCTCTGCCGTGCAAGATACCAGGAGTCAAAGACATTTGGAAATTTTTTGGAGCTCAAAGCTGGTGAGACTCATGATGACAGCGGTGTAAGCCAGACCAGCAGCCGATGTAAACAATGTGGCAATATTTACAAGGCTAATGACGGGAACACATCCTCCAGAACCTCTACCACTACAAAATGTCATAGCAGGTGCAAGTGTTACAGCTCTTAGGTGAAGATACCAGAGTCCAAATGGAAATAAAACCAGTGCAGGGCTGTCACTCGAGACCCTGTTGCTGGACCAACTGGTGCTCCACTAATGAACCGCAACTACCGGAAACTTAATTAAATTATAGACTTTGTCACTGAAGATTTTTTTTACTCTTCATCATGAAAATATATATTTAATGCGCATTACAGTATAACATTGCAAATGGAAAATTAAAAAATTATGCAAATTTTCATTATTGTTTTTATTTGCCTTGTCAAGTACGAGTGCCATGTTAAATTACGATATGTCGCAAAAACAATCTTAATTGCCAAGCCCACGATCGGAATTGTCAATGAATACGTCTCAAGTTATTGTACATGTCTGTAAACTAAAAAAGTCTACATCCCATCATTAAGTGGTTCGTCTTGTTATGTCTCGTTATAAAAGATATAAATTCCAGGAAATTTTAAACCTCCTATTTTAACCGGGACGTCTCGTCTCGGTATCGTCCCGGAACTCCCAAGGAGAGCTGAAAATTGTCACGGTTTTTATTGCGAACCGGGACAAAGTTTCTTGTTCTAGTCTCATCTCGTCTCGAATGGCAAAAAGTTTCAAACGAAGGAGTCTACCAATCGACGGAAATAACAATAAATTTTGTAACTTTATGATTCAAAACATAGCCACCAGATTCTATCAGCTAGAGCTAGTACCGTAAGTAAACAATTGAATATGAAGTTTTTACGTTTCTCGAACAAAAATCATGTAATTTCGAAAGTGTTTGTGGTATACTTTGGTTCGAGTAGTCAGGCCAGTTGGCACGGGAAGATTGTTTATCTGCAGCCTGGTGGCGCCTGGCAGATTGCATGCAACTCTTCAGAAGAGCTATGCTGATTGCTCACAATACGTTGTATGCTGGTTACAGTTCAAGTGTTGGTAGAGTGATACTTCTATGTAATGTTTAGTTAGAGGTGGACAGTCAATATGCTATAGTGGTGAATATTCTAACAAAAAACACCAACAAAGAATGCCTTAATATACACCAATTTTATAGATCAAAAATTATTCTGCAACTACATGGGGAGGAAATTACAAGTCTCAAGCATGCTGAATCTGGCAAGAAAGTAACAACGTCATCGTAAGAACGTCATCGTTTATTACAGAAGGCGTTTCATGCGTCAGATACCGTCTCTTACAAGCATACAAATGCATCTCAAATAAAGAACAGAATACAATAAATATTGTGAACACTCTCAACAGAAGATACTGGCGCAACCTTTGAATTCGTTTAGGATGTTCCATCAGATCAGGAAGGTAAAGTAACACACCTGAGTGTTGATTGCAGAGGGCACGGGAGATGAATTTTGATCATTGCGGAACTTGGAGATATCGGCAGCGCTGTATGCTCCTCCACTTAACCCACTCGCGTCACGAGTGCCCGCCAGCGTGGACGGCGCTTGCTGCGTCTGATGCACACAATAAAAACTCTTCAAGCATTGGCAGTAGAACATCTATGGACTCAATAGCACCTCACTGATGGCGAATTGGAGAACAACATTCAGTCCATGAGGAGCAGTTCTTCGGGGTCTAGTACATGAACTTCCAACACACAATAGGTGCTATTGCACAAGTCCTAATACTAAGATTTGATAGGTACATTAAAAATACAATTTTACCAACTTACACAGAACAATAACGATTTGCAAGCAGCTATGAGTAATTGAAAACATTAGGGCAAGGTAATCGATACGCACGAGATGAGGCATTCTCGATTGCAACATCTGTAGCTCTTCGAAGCTGTAGATCATGGATGGGTAGAAGGGCAGGGAGCTTGCTTGAATTGGAGCCGCATTATTGTTCACAAATTGATGTTGTTGCTGTTGCTGCTGCTGTTGCTGAATTAGTAATTGTTGTTGAGCAACAGCAGCAACAGCTTGCTGCTGAGTGAGATGCGTGGGTTGCTGTTGGTGATGGTGCGTCTGTTGCTGCGGGACGCCTGCAAACAAAAATGCTATTAAAGGCTGAAAATATAAATTTGGCGCATGTCACAGAACGTGTTTGTTTTGCGTCACAGGAAATAAATCTCTCATATACCTGAATACATTTTCCGAAAATACGACTTTCAGCCTCAAAAGCTGAAACATTAGCACACCAAACACAAACAATATAAAAAAATTAAGCAACACAAGTTGACTATATAATCATGATAGAATATTTTTATTCTTTATTATTGCTGATTGATACAGATTATAATTTGATACAGAATGATAACAAATTAAAGTTTAAATGAGACCTGGGGGAGGCACGGTAGTTGAAGGCGCCTTGTGCTGCTGTTGTTGCTGTTGCAGTTGTTGTTGCTGTTGTTGCTGCTGCTGTTGTTGTTGCTGCTGCTGGTGTTGTTGCTGCACACTGGCTGCAGACACCTGCATGGATAAGTTGCTGTTTGCTGCAGACACGCTGCTGTTCACAGCACTCACGTCACCGCCGCTGTAGCTTGACTGTACACAAATGTGGGGAATGAAATAAATGAGGGAACATAAGAGATGGATGAGGGAACATATGAGATGTATGAGGGAGCAGAAGAAATGGATGTGGGGACATATGAGATGGATGAAGGAGCAGAAGAAATGGATGTGGGAACATATGAGATGTATGAAGGAGCAGAAGAAATGGATGTGGGGACATACGAGATGTATGAGGGAGCAGAAGAAATGGATGTGGGAACATATGAGATAGATGTGCTCACTGGAGAAACAGAACAGAATTCCAAATAATATACATATCGCTAGGATTTGTTTAATGAAATAGAAATCACATTCGAGACATTTTAATGAAAAATCCCACATTAGAAAGAGTATTAATGAATTCGACACTAAAAATTGGTTAAATTTTCATTAAATGAAGTCATTCATTCTAAATCTAAAATTAGATTAAAAGCACTTAACCAGGATTCTTAAATTCATGAAAATTTTATATTTCCAAAACATTGCAGTATATAAATGCCATATGACCCAATGTCCAGAAGGAATGTCTGATGCTGAGGTAGGTACCTGAGTGGAGTCTTTAAGTGGAGTAAGCGCTTTGTTGTTCATTGTAGCTGACAAACTCGAGTGACTCGAGCTGTTGTAGCTATTTTGGTACTGCACTGCATTGCTGCCACTTACGAGGTACTGCTGCTCTTGCTGTGATTGAACTCCTTGCTGATTACTATTATTTGAACCAGTCTATTCAAGGGAATGAAAAGAAAAATGTAAAATTTATGCCCACAGATTTAGGGTTTCTTTTTCAAATAATTTACATTATAAGTACGCATTTCAAACATTGAATTTATGTTTCCAGAGTGCATGCATATGCAGTAGGTAGTCAAGATAAGATAAAGGCTCACCACATAGGAAGAAGAGCTGTAATTGTTCGTGTTGCTTCCCGACACTTGGTTGCTGTCAACAGCCACGGGCGCACTGCTGCTCTGGTGGCCAGACAGCGAGCTGCTCACCACAGCACTGTTGCTGTAGCCCCCGTCACCGCTGTTGTTCACATCTTGCCCGTTACTCGAGTACGAATTCTGTAAGCAGAAATTAACAATCATCAGAAAATACGAGTGTGCATCAAACTCATTTAACTAAGTAATATTACTTCCAACGCTAGTAAAAACAAAAACCACACCATAAGAGTAAAAACTAATCATCGAGCAAATCCAAAAGGAATTTGATAAAAAATATAAATAAAATACCGTGAACTTGCAGTACAACAAAAACATAAGGAAACAACCATGCACCGTGGCAGGCAGTCAATAGACCATACGGCATTCACAGGTATAGTCTCAAGTTAATCGAGAACACATTTACCTCGTTAAACGATTTAATGCAGGCTTCTAAAATAAAATGACGAAACGATTTAATCAAATGTGAGGAACGTGTAAGAAGAGGCATAAAGTATTGCGCTTTTACATCGTCCATACGGAACGAATGTTAAGCATGACTGTAGCTTACTATGCCCATTAGGTGTTACTATTGAAGCGCTCAACACGTTAACTTTCATCAATCTAACACGGCAAAATTGAGGAAAGCAATGAATGAGATAGGTGAGCCATACTATGATATCGTACCAAATGGGTAAGATTAATATTGCCCACAAAGATACGCAAAAAATGATGGATGGCAAAGGAAATAGATATTGAAGCAAACAACAACAGAAAAGTCGATCTAAGAAATTGAGATATATTTTGTGAACACTTCGAAACTTGAATGAAGAACTCTTAGTAACGAAGCAAAGAAAAGAAGATCAGTCACAGTGTGTCGACAACAATAAGAAGGATGGAACACAGGGGATAACGACTCACCTGTTGAGAAAAGGGTACAGAGGGGGGAGAGGGGAATGTGGTTGTGGGTTTTGATGGTAACGAATACGAGTAGTGAGAAACTGAAGCAGACGAAGCGCTCGTGGAGCCCAGCCCAAGTGCAGCTGCAGCATTTCCCACAGACAAGACACTCATGTCTTTCTTCTGAGCGACGCCACCACCTGAACCGGCTGACACGGCCACACCACCGGTAGGCCGCATCGACAGGTACGAGTTGCTAGACGCCAGAGCAGCCGACGCGTCCGCAGAGTTAGAGCTACTGTTGCTGCTCACGAGGTGTGAGCCTGACACCTCACTCTGCTGGCTGCTCGGGAATGGGATGGGCTCCGGTCCCAACTGACGAGGGTGGGGGTACACACGTCACACACAACTCTCACCACAATCGTTTTAAACAACAGTTAAGTGCATGCAGTAAATATAAAACATTGCAACAAATACACTACATAATCATCAGCTACTGTCTATCTCTAAATATTCCACGTAGGGTTACTGATTTGTGGTAATTTGTGCACCTAATGATATAGTTATAAAAAGCAGTTCTAAGGCGGTAAAAACATTATCCAATTTGTCCATGTGATTACAAGTTATCCTAAGCTGTTGACGTAGCATAGTTTGATTTATCCGACAAAAGGCACATCTTTTGCTCGAACCACGGAACCAGCAAAGACGATAGAGTATCATAAGTAGGAGCGAGTGAATTTCACAATCGTTTACGAGGTTAGTTCGAATACAACAAACCAATATTACATCAAATGAAGGCCCATCAATAAAGCAATCAACCCAGAATGAGTGAAAAGTTGGTGCATAACAAGAAACACGCCCATCCTCAGTGAAGTATAGAGAGAAAATTACACGAGCACTTTAAAGCATGTTTCTATTTATAAACTCAGTTAGTTAGTTTAGTGAGTAGGTCACTTGGTCACAAAATAAAAATGATGATTTGATTATCGCGACCTTCTAGAATAAATAACAAATTATACCCAAAATATTTAAATGAATGATATGATGATGCGATCATGAGGTGTAAGAAGTCATTGTAATAAATCCGATTATATGAAGAGGCAGGAGATTTAACAATCTGTACATCGTAACTCGTACAAATAAAAGATATAACTAGGTAATACTGCACACAATTTTCAAAGTCTTTGCAACCAGACTTGTATACATAAGATCGTAACTATATTTCGGTTTTCATTTATCAAGTTTTCGATAGCTAGATAATTACCAAAGTAATAGTTTGTTGTACTTCAACAAACTTCAAACTTATCAAAGTAATAAGCAAAGGTATTGATAGAATATCTGCTAAATAAATTATGCAAATAGTAGCAGACCAAAAATTAAGAATACAACAGACCTTGTGAGCTTGCTTAGCGGCAGAGCTGGCAACAGCATCGGCCCGTTCAAGACCAGAAGACAGAGATGAGCTATAGTTGTTACTTGGTTGCGTGGGATTGGAGTACGAGTTTAGAGCAGCAGATGCAGCGTAGGGATAAGATGAATTCGAGTAGGAGCTTGGTACCGCAGAGACAGATGGAACAGTAGCAGCAGCAACATTAGAGCCGTATGCAGAACTCGCCGTTACCGAAATTTCCACAGCATATGGAGAGCTTGCATACGATGAGCTTGCTGATGGAGGAGGGTAAGAACTTTCAGCTGAGCTCATAGGTGCAGCCGATGGTGGCGTTGTCTTATTAGGCTCAGGGAAGTCAAAGCCTTCTGTGCCAAACTTCAAGCCAGATAACTGGAGGTTAAGCGAACCCATCACATCCTCAGGCATCTCCACAGCCGACTCTGGGATCTGAAGAAATACACAGCAATAGTCATTTAGTTACTCTAACCATCCAAATTAAAATAAGTGTAACTAACATGCAAGTATGAAGTTTTTATTCCCTGCTGAGAAAAATTTGGCATCAGAAATAATTTTGATAATTGTAAAACAAACAAAAAATGATTGTATAGCAACAAATAAACTTGAAATTTCATTATATATTTCAGCAGAGAAATTCTTCAACAAATCCAGCGTAATTTCAACTCGAGGCGGTTCAAATAAGTGTGCTCACTTTAGAGGAGGTTGGGGGCGCCTTCGAGCGAGCGGGCTTGGGTCTCTGACTGCCAGTGGGCACTCCTGGCAGGATCACGCCAGGTTTGTTCTCTGACTTGCTCAGGCTGGTACCGAGAGTTCTTGTCACGTCGTTCTGAAGACCTGTAAATACAGCAGGATATTACGATAGCAAGATTCCTGCAATCACAATTTTTTCTGAACAATTATTGCTATTATTAATAATACTAATACAATGAAAAGGGATAATACACCCCAACTCCATGAATCAATATACATACATTGAGTCATATGATACAGCGAAAGAATTTTAAATAGTATAGGGAAAATTTTCAAAAGCAAATTGAACGTTTCTTTCACAGCACAAAAAAAAAAAAAGAAGCACTGAAGCAATGAAGAAAACTTATAAGTTTGTTTTCACTTTGTATTCATGAACTCGCCTGAGGAGAATATAGAGTGTTGCCCAGAAGACGAACTGGGAACAGAACTAGAAGAAACAACTCCAGGATAGCTCATGCCTGCAGCACCAGCATTCAGGGTAGACAGACCGTACTGAGCATTAGAGCTCAGGGTGCTTATGCCTCCACTTGCTTTGATGACATCACCGACATTGGTGCTGATACCTCGCAAGATGCTCGGTGTTTGGTGCTGCTGCTGTTGCAGGTGCACTGCATTTCCATTTGCAGATGAGCCTGACAGCATCGACCGACCAGTTCCGAGTCCTGATTTCAATAAATGATCAGTGACACATTCCACCACACTTGCCTTCGAGAAAATCCAATCTAGATCCATTCCGAGCGTTGATGTATTATTCTCATTAAGTAGTGACTGTATGATGAATTTACAATTTTTGGCTTTCATGGGCTCCTTAAAGAAAGAAGACCGTGTTCCTAACACATTAACACATAACAATTGCTTGATAACCCTCATCTAGCAAAATACTAAACGAAACTGATAAACTCTTGTTTATCAAGGCTTAAGAAGCAAAGTTCACATATGCTGCTTGTGCAAGTAGACTCCTTCACATAGAATTTAAATGTCTGCTGATCTTCTAAATGTCTCTCATACAAGACACATATTCAATTAAAATTTAATTTAACTTCGCAAGTGGCAAGATTTTATGTTTCGAGATACAACTGAATCTGAGCATGTGAACGTTTTACAAACCTGAGAGCTGAGATTGCGGTGCTGCCTGCTGAAGGAGAGCTGTAATATCCATTGCTGCAGGCTCGGACAAACCCGAAGCTTGTTGACCCGGCAGTAGAACAGATGACGAGGCACTGATGTAGGTGTGGTTACCAGACCCAGTGGCAGCAGAGTAACTCTGAGGACTGCTGGATGGGACTTGACCAGATGGCTGCTGGTAGTTCGGCAGAGCTGAGCTATTGACGAGCTTGGCTGCATCTGTAGCAGTAAGATCTGAGGCTGGAGGAGGTGTTGGTTCGACGCTGCTGTGGACAAATACATTAGTCTTCTCTAGACTGCCCGTCCACTCGTCGCTCCAATCACCCAAACCGGCCGCTTCTCCAGCGTCGCCGAAGGTGTCAATATTACCCGCAGAAGGTTCACCCCAGATTTCAATGGTCTCATCAAATGATGATGAAGTCTGTCTGTTTGAGTGGAATGTATCCCCCAAGTGACCTCCACCAGACCCTACTGCACCACCACGACCACCTCGGATAGCTCGACCACCGCGGCCCCTGACTGGTCCACTACCGTTGACGAGACCTCGACTCGCACCACGACGACCACGAGAACTGCCCGTTTCCGCTCCAGGCTCGCGGCGAGCTGCGGCGCCTCTTGAGCTGCCGCCACGTCCGCTACCTCGGCCACGAGAAGCGCTCCGGTCTCGTCCTTCGATGCTCACTACTGTGCCTCCACGTCTATTCTCCTTGTTGCTCTCCAACTCAGCCTAGGTCAAATGTAAATGTAATCATATTAACTACCTTTTGGCATATATTAGTTGAAAATTTATATACTGTTTATCATCAATGACATGAGGATAAACCAAAGAATGTGAACATGCCAAAAAAAAGTTCATGATAAGCAGACTGCAAGTAAAAAGCAATAAGTTTTTCCATGAATTCAACCACAAATGGAAAACAGTACCGAGAATTCCTTTGTTAAGGTAAAATAGATTCTCCTATTCCAACTCCTATTCTAAGCAAGGTCTTCAGGGTCCGCCATATTTATGGTAACGGATGTTTGCTATAAAAAAATAAATTGATTTCTATGAGACTTTTCTTTTATAATAAAGCTTAATATCATCTATTAATTCATCTATTTTATATTGCAGAAGTCTACGGTGTCTAAATTTACTACTACTTATGACAGTAGATAGAAATGCAATTGTAACCCTTCATGAAAAGGGCGAGAGTAATTCAGTCATTGCAAAAAAAGCTCCAAATTCGTCGTGAAACTGTGTGGAAGGGGCTAAAAAAAATTCAAAGAACCTGGTGAAACATGCAATTGACCTGGTCAAGGAAGGAACATCAATGCGTAGAGTCCTCAAAGATGACCTCAAATCCTCCCCTTACAAGATGCAAACAAGGCATGAACTAACAGACCGTCATGAACGAATGAGGCTCAAAAGATGCCAGCATATTCTGAATCTCATTGAGGATGACACGCTGCCCAACTTGGTGTTCAGTGACGAGAAAAAATTTGACATTGAACAAAGTGTTAACTGTCAAAATGACAGAGTTTGGAGTCTGGATGAATCTGTGGCAACCAGAACAGCAACACGACGTCAAAATCCCATGTCTGTGATGGTTTGGGCCGCGGTAACCGCCACTGGGAGGTCCCCACTCGTTTTTGTCCCCTCAGGAGTGAAATTGAACAGTCAGCGATACATTTTGGACATTTTGGAAGCAGTGTAAACCTTGGGCCCGTAAACACTTCAACAGCTCACCATGGAGTTTTCAACAAAACTTTGCCCCATCACATGGCTCAAACATGACCCAAAACTGGATTCAGGGTCACATCCCAGCGTTCAATAGCAAAAATGAATGGCCCTTAAGAAGCCCTGATTTGAATCCTCGAACTTTTCTGTGTGGGCTATTTTAGAGAGTAGGGTCTGCAGAACACCTCATGATTCTTTGGATAGTTTGAAGTCATGAGAATGGGACTTGATCCCTCAAGAAATGCCGCGTGTCTCCTGTCAAGCTTTCCTGTGTAGATTGGAGGCCGTCATTAAAAATAAAGGTGGTCATATTGAATAAATATGTAGGAAAATTGTTTAGGTAATTATTGGCTACTAGCTCATCCAATAAAAAAACAATGCACCTGTTTGCTTCATTGAAAAATAACAAAAAACATGCGTTGCCACAAATATGGCAGACCCTGCAGTGAACTTAGATTGATAATGACGCAACTGGAAACCAAAAAACAAATGAGAAGCTTAAATCTATACAGGATTCAGGGGATGCACAGCAACAAAAGTTGTGTAACCACAAGTTATTACCTTTGCCTTGGGCTTCTTCTTCTTGGTTCGCTCATGCCAAGCATCCTGGTTGGTGTTGCCTTCCAGGATAGCATTGACTGCTGCTTCAAGATCATTAGAGTGGTCATGCAGCGCCACAAGAGCCTCCTCCCGGTCCCTTCCTGTCACAAGTATGACCTGCCCATGCATAGTTGCACAAGTTACCACCTACAAAACAAACTTGCTAGTTTGAAAATTTTTCTCTACAGAAAAGTAACCACTGATTTCTCCCCCAGGCAACTTTCTTTATACATGAAGAACAACTTTTAATGTAAACTAAGTTTTTTGAGTCTCATCTTTTTTGAAAACTTATTTTGAGTCTCACCTGCTCTATTTTCTCTTGCAAATCCTGGTCCTGTTGGGTTGTAACAAAGTTGTCGGTGATCTGTGCCATACGGATCTGTTCTGCTGTAGGTGCAGCTCTGGCAGCCTTGTCCGAGCTACTCTGTGTTGGACCACTGTCTGACGCCACTGTTTTGTTGATGCTGTTATTGTTGCTGCTGCTAGCATTCTTCACATGGTTACTGTTGACGCTACTGCGTACACCACGACTTCCAGAACTCATCTTAATCTAGTCTATTTACACTCTGTATGTACAAGTGCTTCTGCAACAAAAAAAAAAGATACAACATTAATATAAATATGCATGTTCTTCATACAAGTTAAACCGTTACACACTAACTTCTGACATTTACATGTCAACTACTACCGTCAACCAGGGCTACTCGCGATGATCTCGAACGTTTTTCATTCATAACTTCTTACCATGAAACATTTCATAAACAAGTTTAGGCTCATTTCAAAGCTCTTTGCAAGGGCTATCACATGGTTTCTCCAAAATAATTCCATTTGCTATTCGTAAGGTGCCAGAAGCAAAAAAGAGTGTCCTGAGTAGCCCCATCAAATGGGGCTACTCGGGAAACTTGGAATAAAACTTCATTACAAAACATTTGAAGCATGCAGAGTGTACTCCTTCATTACTAACAGTACTCTGAAGTCCTCCTCTTTCATTATAGATGATGTAGAGGCAGAAATATGACATTTTCTGTGATTTTTACTTGTTTTTCCTCTAACTAAAAAAAAGTGACGGTCTTTGTTACCCCAGCTCTTGGGGTAACTTAGACCGGGTGGTAAAATCAGTTATATTTTTTGGTAAAATAACTCCAAATAACTCCAGGTTTTGGTGCATTGTAGTAGAACTCTTCTAGTTACATATGCAAATGACAAACTTGAGGAAAGTGTCATAGTTTGCAAATGGGGGAGTATTAGGCCTTTAATACCCATTGACAAAATTTTTCTATGTCAAATAGTTTTTGAGTTGTGGGGGTTTTTGTTAAAAAAACGAAAAGTGGTCTAAGTTACCCCGCCGGTCTAAGTTACCCCATTTTACGGTACCGTATTATTGATGCGATATTACCGTATCCATGAACAGGCCATTGAGCATTTACAACAACCTTGTCCACTGTAAGCTTCATATCAGCAGCCTTATAGCATTTTTTCTGTATCTGTAAGCTCACAGGACAGCATGTAATTTCACACCATTTTAATTGGGTTAAGTGAATTTACTATAAAAAAAGATCGTGAAAAACATACCTGAAACAGAAAGGAATGTTTTAGTGACAACCATCATATCTTTTGGAGAAATAAAGATCATAGTTTAGGTCAATTACTTTTCATTCCATGATGCCTGGTGCACAATTCTATATATGACATTCTATGCACAATTTTGTGATGACCGATGATGCACTAATTTTTCAACAAGTAAAATTTTTTTAGCTGAGCAAGGTAAATGTAATAATATTCTTTGTTTTTAATCAATTTTTTCTTAACTGGAGCCTTTGCTAACTGAGGTTCTACTGTTAGTGCATTATTGGGGGTGTCCCGAATAGCCCCGGGGGGTGTCCCGAGTAGCCCCGCCGTGCGGAAATGGCCGCCATTTTTGGGGGGATTGAGGTATGTAAATTTCGCAAATAAAGTTTTCATGCTGACACTTGTCTGCCACTTTTTTCTAAGAGAAATTTTTTAATACGGTAAATATTTTTTTACTACAGACCTTAGCAGAAGTAACTTTTCAAAATATTGTTTTTCACCATTTTTTCAGGAATTTTTCAAAGCTAGTAAATGTAGTATTTTTGAACTTCCTTTATACTACATAGACAGGAAAAATGTTGACGTTTACGCCACTATATTTAGTTTTGCAATATTCCAATTAGTTTTGCTACTAAAACAGTTTTACGCCGTGTTGGAGGACTGTCCCGAGTTCCCCGCCTGTCCCGAATAGCCCCGGTTGACGGTAGTTAGGACTGTAAATTTAAATTTTCTTCAAATCTGTTCAGTAGTTTAGAAGAAATTCCTTGATCACTGTAAATTCTGGCCTGTATTGCCAAATAACTCAAATGATGGCAAACTTCAAAAAAATTGTACACGCTAGACATTACCATTAGGTCCTAATGAATCCATGTACCAAGTGTCATCAAGTTACGTTCATTAGTTTGAGAGATATTCCTTGATCATTGAATTTGGAAATTGGCCTTGAGACCGGCCTTTAATTTGTCCAAAACGTACACCCAGGAGAGGTTGAAAAAAACAGATCTGGGTAAAAAAAAAAACATTGCTGGGAGTCATGTGCTGCAGGTGTTGTGTATAAATCGTCAAACAAACGTTCAAACTTCAGACTGCCGCTCCCCTATTGCTCTCTTCTTCTGTACCCCCTCCTCATCCCCCAAAATCTTTCCACCACCCCTACGGGGGCAATATTGCCCACTTTGAGAACCACTGCTCTACAGCAAACATGAACATCATGCCAGTTCTAGTAGCTGCTGTGCCAGCTGAGGTTTGTGGGTCTGGCATTCGGCTGATGCTTGTCACTCATTCAGTCATTGGTTCCCACTTGGAACTTCTGCAAACTTTGTTTTCTGGATTGTGTAATGGTGTTCAGTTAGAATTATATTATAATTTTAGGCTTCCTGCAGAATTAGTGGCAATTTTTAGCTGTTTAAACATCCTGCAGAGTTCATCAACAGACATACTGGTTTGTCTCATATCCCATTTTTTTCCAATTGGGTCTGCAAAGACCAAGTTTTCTGAGACCGGCAGATTGCTGTAAAATCTGAGCTCGTGTATGAAATGGGCAGTCTAGTATATTTGTCAGATTTCTGGTGCAGCTTCTGCTGTACTGTTTGGGCCTCTTGTGTAATGGGAATTGATACCTTCCACACTCAGGAGTAATTGGAACTTGGCAGTGCATTAGGGCTCATACCTCTGATCATTGTATTGGTTGTCAACATCGTGGTGCAGCTTGTACCTGTACCCTTGCTGTCTGTTTCTGTGTTCCTGGCAGTGTATTAGGGCTCATACCCCTGATCATTACTTTAGTTGTTGGCATCGTGGTGCAGCTCATACCTGAACCCTTGCCATCTGCTTTTGTGGTTCTCAACAGTTTATTAGGACTCATCAATTGTATCCCTGTCTCCTGAAGTTGAGATCCTGTCCCACCATTGCTTTTGGACTTGAATAATAAATTGTGTACCTTGTACAGTGGAACTTGTGTATTGCTGGAAGATCACCAAAATACTACAAAAAGTTCCTCATGTTCATTCTTCCTCTCTCCAATGCAAGGAAATTTAGAGCTGGACCAAAGAGCAACTTTTTAGCCCTAGTGTTAAAACCAATACATAAATCACCATCAGTTGACATGCCAGTACAATTTTGTGATAATGGTAGCATGAACTAAATTCACCAAAATGTACTAAATTACATTATATAATTTACTCATTGTCAACACATCTGCTTCTTAGTAAAATTTATTTGAAAAATATGTTGACATTTCCATTATGTAAATTACCGTAAAATGGGGTAACTTAGACCAGTGGGGTAACTTAGACCACTTTTCATTTTTTTAACAAAAACCCCCACAACTCAAAAACTATTTGACATAGAAAAATTTTGTCAATGGGCATTAAAGGCCTAATACTGAGGCTACATAACACAATAGAAAAATTTAAAAAGTTTGCATATCTAATAGGTTAAAAAATTAAAAATGTGACATGAAAAAAAGCTATTATTTAAAGCCTCAGAGTACCCCCTCCAATTTTTTTATTTTTTGGTTAAATAACTCCAGGTTTTGATGCATTGTAGTAGAATTCTTCTAGTTACATATGCAAACGACAAATTTTAGGAAAGTGTCATAGTTTGCAAATGGGGGGCGCCGCCCCCAAATGGGGTAACTTAATGTTTCAATTCAAGTTTAATTTAGCTAGTAAAAAAATGGCATCATTTATAAAAATAAAAGTGGTCTAAGTTACCCCATTTTACGGTACTTGTGATAATAAAATCAATAGTTGCTTTGTTAGCTGATGGTCTTCAATTCTTCCCATGGAAAAAGAATTAAGATTATTATTGTCTTTCCTGACAATAACCATTCAACCTTCCAAATTGCAAAACAAATTAGGTTCAGGGTGAGTACTGGTATTCAGAAAAAAAAATTCCATGACCTGGTTTTAGTAATCTTTGAAAGTTAACTGAAAAGAGAAGTCAGCACTGCAGTACCAAACTTTGCCAGAACATGTACAAGATGTGTATTAACTATCAAACCTACGCATCCACTTGTATAGTTATTTGATCTTACAACAATTTTATTATGAATCCATCATTTTTCTCTGCTGGTTGCAAATGGAACCGCTTGGCATCAACATGTTGACTCCGATTGCTTGATCTGGTACTTTTATTTCATTTTTTGGCTATTTTGAAACAGGGTTGCCAGATCTTTTTTTCCCGGATGAAATAAATTCCGCGATTTAGTTTTTTTCAATTGCAATGGCCAGCTAAAATTTATGATGGGAGCACTTCTAAATTAATTTTGAAAATTTGCAAAAAATTTAATTTTTACACCAGAACCTACAAATATACTAGTCCATATCGAGTTACAGATCTTATTTGGTATTTTTTGTTTGCAGACTTGTCCTTTTTCTAGACCATATGGCAATGCTGAATTATGTACCACTACATCCTAGAGAAATACAATTTGTGGTATGCATATGTACAACTTCGGAGTCAAAGTGTTAATGGGTTAACACTTTGATCTTTTTATAGCCATTTATTTCTTGCTACGTCCTTAAGGTGTTGGAATATGGTGTGTTTACCCTAATCACTCTATGGCAGACAAGTGCGGATTTGGGAGGAATATCTTTATTCAACCACGGATTTGATTCAACCACAATTCTCACAAATCAAAAGAATTGTGAATTTTAAAGTAATGGTAAAGAGCCTATTGTTATAATAATTTTGATAAATAATTTTCTGACATGAGAAGCTCAATTCGTTTAATTAGCCGTTAGTTTAATTTGTTTCTTACATACGATGTTGAAGCAAAGATTTAACGTGAAAACGAAGTTACGGCGTTGCTTCTCCTCAAAAAGTTAGAGTGATTAGGGTAAACACACCATATTCCAACACCTTAAGGACGTAGCAAGAAATAAATGGCTATAAAAAGATCACCATATGCGCAACTCGAGTTCTGATTGCTTTACATCACTCTCAAAACACCACACTATGTGCCAGCAATGATGGAACATCACAAACTGTTGCCATATTTATTTAAAAGCCT